GGGGGGGGGGGGGGGGGGCAGGAAAGGATGAACTGTCATTTCTCCATGAAGATATATTTAAGCTTAACAAATATTGGTTGTCACTGCTTTGTCTCAAAATATCCTGTTTATGAGTGCCAAGGGAACAGGCTCTTGGAGTTGTTTGCATAATAAACATTCAGATGGTGATTTAATATGATGGAGATTTTTGATCTGATCAGGAGCATTTGGGCAACCATCAGAGAGGCAAAATAAAATGGTTACGTCTACAGAAGCACAAATAAATAAAAAAGTGAAATACAAAACAAGGCACAAAATTCAGAGGATTATTATGTGCCTATTTTTTCTTGCTCACCATATTGGTTTCATTCCTAGGTTTCCGAACTGTTACTATGTTTTTTTAAAAGGCAGATGGTTAAAAAAAAAAAAAAAAGCAAACGAGTGAACCCTATACATGCCCCAATGAGTTCTGTGAAACTTGTGCTCAAATAAGAACAGTGACATTAAGATCTCTTCTGACAGCATGCAGTTTTCCACAGCCAGGCATCACTCATTCTCATCTCCTTGTTTTTGTCCCCTATCTCCTGTCATTATGTCTCCAGTTCTGTTTTTAGACAGTTGCCCTTAGCCCAGCAAGTTCAGCGGAGAGTTCTGAAGGTGGTGATTTCTCTATATTGCTAAAAGCAAAAGAAAGCCTGTCTTCTCTCCCTCTCTCAGCTTTTCAAACTAGGCAGAACGTTAAGAACAGAAGACAAATGGATTGGGGTGGGGGGTATGGAAAAGGAACCAGGAAGCCATTTTTAAGCAAGAAAACAAACAGCCAATTATTTGGGGCAAAATATCAGTTCAATCTTACCTGCCAGTTGAAAGGAAGGACTTAAGATGCCAGCTCTTTAGAAGGATGTGTGTTCTTGGAAGACTTCATAAACATAGCTTACATGACCAAGACTGAAGGTATCCAGGCCCAGAAGAGCACCGGGCAAACTTTGATCATTCTTTTCTTTCTAGATCTACCAGGGACTGAAGTCATGCAGGAAACAGAGAAACAGACAGCCGAAGAGGAACGTAGTTTCTGTTCTGAGAGATACCAGTTAGAAGAAAGAGGAGCTACAAATGCTCTCTTAGGTTTCACCCAGGCTTTTGTTAGAAAGTCTTTTCTCCTGGTTGTTTTGCCCCCACCCACAACTGTTGCTCTGTGGGAGCTAAGCTTTGGCAGTGAAGTTCTGAGATTGTATTTCTCCTCTCCTGGGCTCCTTGCAGGCTGCTGAGAGCAATGACTTTGTGGAACTGAGCTCGCTGGAGCTATATTTATCCAGTGTTCTCAGCAAGTCAAGCCTGTCAACAGCTGAGAAGTTTGAAGCAGGCTCTGCCTAGTTCCTCAGCTGCCGAGTTATCAGTGGATATGGAGCTGTGTTGTTCAGTGGCTCACCTCAGTACAGGCAAAGGAAGCCTCTCTCTCTCTCTCTCTCTCCAACATTTTCCTGTGACTATAAACAATCAGCATAGATGGAGAATGACTGAGGAGCTCAGGAGAGAATGAGACATAAAGCAGGGCCTTAGCTGTAGGCACAACTTTTCAGGCCAGAATGTCTGCAGTGTTGCAGGAAAAAAATATCATACAGATGGTAGATCTGGAATATTCCTGGGATTTTGTGGATGTGCAGGAAGCTGTATTAACTGTATTTAGCCCATGTTAGGGCTTACATTGCATTTTCCCTGTATTTCTTCTCTCAAATGGCAGAAAACCTGGCTACCAATTTTCAGCACTCAAGCTCAAAGATATGGTCAAGAGGGGATCTGAAATTCCCATGAAAAGGAGTTTGAAGGTTGTTGCATGCACCTCTATGGCCACAGTTGCCCTCTTTCCCCAGAGAGAAAGGCAACATCATCTGACCTAACGTTTGTTTGTTCAATAGTATTTTCCCTCCCAATGCTGACTTCCAAAATCTATTCTGCAGGTTTGGAGAGTGGGAGGTGGGTGGTCAAGGAGAGGAATAGTGCCCTCCCTGATGTAAACATCAGTCAACAGAACAAATGCCTGGATTTCACCCAATATTCCAAAAAAGAACTACCGTATACTTAGTCACTGTCATATTTATTCTTACTTTAATTGAAGTTAAAAAAAAAAATCAGAAAACTAAATTTTCGAAAGGTCAGTGGCATTCACTAGGAGAAAATGTGACACATAAACAGCATGTTTAAATCAGTTTGCCTCTTCTGAAGCAAATAAAACTGGAATGTTAACCAGGCATCTGTGAGGTAGCTTGGCATTCTAGCAGGCCATTTATATGATCAGTTACTATGAGAAACCAGCTTCAGTCTTTGATTTCACACCACAGGGTGAGATGCGGGTCAGAGTCAATTTAAGAAAAAGTAGAAATCTTAACAGGAATACTTGATTTGCTTTGCTTTCAACCTGGAATTAATGGCTATGTGTAACAACAGGACATTATCTCAGTTTGCTAAAGACAAATGTCCGCTGAATGACTTACAACCATCAGCATCAGAATTAAAATAACCACAGCTTATTATACTTACAATTGGCTGGCATTGCATGTTATGCTAATATACAAACTTTCCCTAACCTGGTTGCCCTCCAGATTGGTGAACACTGACTCCCAGTATTCCCAGTCAGCATAGTTATTAATTACAATTCTGGGATGGATGTCCACCATCTGGACAGCATTCAGATTGGGGAAAGCTGTCACAAACTATCATCCACAAGTCCCCAAGTCAAAGCCAAACAAACTGACTAACAACTTGGCATAATGTGTGAATCCAGAGAAGATCTTTGTTTAACACTCCTATCCAATTTCCAAGTCTAAATCACATCCAAAGATTGTGGTAATCCCATGGTGAGAAAAACTGTTGTTGTATGTGTAACTACATGTACAGAGGCCAAATTAGATCTAAATAATATTGCAGGGGAAAGGTTAACTACTCCCTGATACTCAGCATTATTCCTCTGATCAAACTGGAGCCTCATATAATATGTAAAAAGAAAAGAAAATGGCAAATATTCTCTGCTTTTACTAGTATAACAGTGAGAAGAAAATATATCAATAAATGTTGGCAATTCACGAAAGTAAACAAAAGCAGAACGAAAAGTTTACATCCTCATTCTGGCTCAGCGTTAAATGCGGCTTGCTAACCCACTCAGGCTTTAAGTCTTCAGAAGCCAATTGAGTAAGAATCAGCAAATGCACACTCATAACTGGACTGGGGCCATGATGGATATTTTCTGGATGCATGACTTTTGATTTCTTCCTTACATGGGAAGCACATTTGGTTTTTCATCTGTTCAAAAAAAAATTTTTAGGGCAATATGTTTTGGGAGAAAATATAGGCCTCACTTATTCTGTTGGTGGAATGAATGCCGAATGACAACCCAATTTGTATTCTCTTACTTATTTTACATTTGCCTTATGTGAATTGTTCATCATTTAGCATTAAATAATTTCCTATAAGGTTCTTTCATAGATAAAGGTTCCCAAAAGGAACTGCTAGAACTCAAATTGATAATCTTTGCACCTCTGTGTGGCTACCAATATAACCAACCACTGAAGTTCTAATTGCAAGATTTACTTAGGCAGAGGACATGAAGACAGTTATGTTGAACTGGGAACACATAAGGAATTTTGAGAGCATATGGTGGGGGACTTCATAAAATGACTGCCATAATGGGCATGGCCTGTCACAAAATACCCAATTACCAGAAGGCAGATGAGTGCCCCAGGATATTCTCTACTATCTCAGAGAAACTTTACTGTAGAGTCCAAAGACACTTCTACAAATAAATATGATGGTAGAGATTGATGTTTTGTTTTGCAACATGCCAGTCTCCTATTTTATTTTATTTTATTTAAAAGAACCTGGTGGGCACAAATAAGGTGTCTGGGTGGAGCACTAGGGTATGCTGTACTTCTGGACTATGAAATGTATTTTTATCCTTGCTACTCAGACTACACTGATATGTTTGGTGTGCTTCTGTGTCTTTTGATTCTGACTTCAGATGGACTCTTCAGAGCTGCATCATGACTGTCTTTCAGTCCTATTCAGGTTTTGGTCCTAACTTCCATCATGGCCCCTTGATTCCAAGTCTTCTGTGCAGCGCTTCTGTCCATTGATAGATTGATTGGACTTGTAAGATCTCCTAACTATAAAACCTAAGACATCATACAGGACAAGTTAAAACCATAATACAACAATAAAATAAAAAGCAAATAGCAAACAATAATCAAGGATTACAAAAAATTAAAGCAGCAGTGGAAGAAGGTCTTTTTGGCCTTCCTGAAGGGCAGCAGGCTTCCTTGCTCCCAGTTGCTCATCTCAGGCCATTACCTATGAAGCACCCCTAACAGTTCCTTTTGCCTTGAGAGGTCTTCTGAAAAGGAACATCTAGGCTAAAGATGAGAGGCTTTCTTCAAATTCTTATCCAATCTGAAATTGCATTCATTTTTATCTATCTTTTGGGAAGAGAATGTCACTTCCATCTGCCTGTGACACAAAGGAGCAGCTCTGACCACATATTGCCCTGTTTGGCCTCTTCATTGTGTCCAGAAGGCTGCAAGCCACAACTGTCTTATTCTGGAGCAGAGACTTTTTATGGTACAGGGGCACTTCTGAGTAAATACTTTGGGGATTGATGTTTTAGGTATAGCTAGAAAGAGATTGGTGAAAATTGGAAATAAATTGTTTGTTGTCTCAATCCTTTATATCAAAGGCACGTTGTTCAGTGGCAGTTCTTAACTTCCCTATCTAGCTTTCATGGTACTCTCTCGTCCAAGTACTACCAAAGTATAGCCCTGCTTAGCTTTTTGAAGACCAGACAAAGTCAGCTGATGCTACCATGTTCTATAACGGATAGAACAGTTATAAAACAACAGTTTAAATAGAAGTTAAAGCCACTCTAAATGTGCTGCCTGACACACAAAGGCACAGTTATTACGAACTGGAGTGGGAAATTTGTGGCCCTCCAGAAATTGCTGGAGTCCATTTCCAATGATACCAGAGTCAACATAACTAAAAGACAGAGATTATATTATATATTATATTCAGAATCAGACAATAGGGTTTATCTGAAAAGAAACACACTGGTTCTATACTTATTTTTGTAACTCATTCACTATTCTTATTCCTAATCTATAAATACTTTTGACCTGGTTATGACATTGGTATCTTGATATCCACTGGCAGAACTGAATTGTTCAGAGGCAATGCAGTCATACAAGGATAAAGTTCTCAAGGGCTACAAGAAAGAATAGCCTTCAAATGGCTCTTGATAGTAGAATTCCTTCTATGCATGTACCTGTTTTCTTGCTTACAAAGAGAAATGTTTGAAAAGCCAAGCTAGTTCAGCAATTTATTTCAAAATAAGCATACTCTTCCCCACAGTTTTTCCTTATATCCTGATTGGTTTAGCTGTCATAGAATGTTACCATATTTCTCAAGACCTGCATCAAGGCGATTTAGAAATATATAAGATATCAACTCCCAAATAAGTTTCCACTGAGTTCAGTGGTATTTACTCCAAATAAGAATTGTAGTCAATAGCATTCTCTCTTTCTCTCCCTCAACAAATATGAGTGCAATAAAAAGGTGGGGGTGGGGAGTATGATAGCATGTAAGGCAGTGGTTACACTAGCCAATTTCCATTACTGTTGCCCAAAACATAGCAAGCTTGTTATAGTTTAAGTCATATCCCACTTACTTCACTAGGATAGTTAAACACACAGTTTAATCTATATCCACTCTCTGAACTCCACAGAATTTATCACAGAGTAGACATGCAGAAGATGGCACTATAAACCTCTCTGAATGAAATGTTAGTGTGATACTCTGGTTAGATCACGTCCTGTCTTTATTCAGGCATAGTTCCTTTAACTATTGTAAACAATCAGAAATGTCTAAGTGGTTAGCGCCTAATTTCTGCAATGTTTCCTGTGGAGCAACACAGGAAACTTGTGTCCCAATGAATAAGATAATGTAGAAAGTGGGAAGGAAATTTGATGGCTATAAATTGTTCATAATCTGACCCCTACAGTTAAATTGCAGGTTTTAATCATCGTAATTCTGAAATAGGATTGTTCCAGAGCAAATTTTGGGATGCTGATACTGTTAAGCAACATTATGCATCCACCTAGTAAACTGAAAGTATATGAAGGCACCATCTTTATGTTCCCCTTAGGGAAACAGGAAGCAAAAAGCATAACAAGGAATATCTGGTACAGTACTGAAATTATTATTGTGAGGTGATTATAGCATTCTTTTATAAATTATTTAACACATTTTTCTTTTTAAATTTAAACACATATACAAAGAAATTCC